CCCGGCTGCCACCGCGGCGTCGGGGCGGCCCCTGCCGAGCCCCCCCTGTCCCCCCTGGGGCGGTGTTGGGGGACAGCACCCCCCGCCAGCAGCCTTAGCTCCTGCGCAGCGGGTGCCACATGGAGACGGGCTTCCTCAGCGTGGCCAGCATCTGGTTCCAGTGGGTGATGCCCATCCCGCTGGCCGCCGGCCCGATGAGCACGTGGCCCGTGTTGTCGGCGCGGCCGTCCTCCCCGCTCTCCGCCACCGTCACCCGCAGCGACAGCTCCTGGGGGGGTCACAGCAGCCATTGCCAGTGCCCACCCCCCCACTTTCCCCACAGATACATCCCCCAAACCATATATAGCCCCCTCCATCGCTCCTACGACCCCCCCTGAACCCCTCACACCCCGGGGTCCTCACTAGCACAGGGATTTGGGGACCTCGAGGAGCGATGGGATGTACCCCCCCCCGGCAGGGACGTGCTCCCCCAGCCAGGACAGACCTGGAGCACGATGGCTGGCACTGAGAAAATCATGGCCTCGTTGAAGACGGGGTTGGTGTCGTCCCTCTTCACCGCCGTCTTCTTCTTGCTGATCTTCCTCCCGTCCTGCAGCAGGTACACCTTGACGAAGGGGTCTGCCCGGGGTGGGGGGAGAGAGAAAACCAGGGGTCAGTCATGCGCTTCCCCTGCGATATGGAGAAAGTGAGGGAACCATCTCTGGTGGAGCTTCCTGGTGGGGTCTGTCCTCAACGGGAGCCGCTCCACCAATCCAGGTGGCAAGAACCCAGCGTAGGATAAATGAGGGTGAGAGCCCACCTCCAGCCCGCAGAAGACCAAGGGACCTTGTGCCCACCGGGATCCCCCGCTCACCTGCGGTGACTTTGCCATTGGTCCACACCAGGTTCTTGGCTTTGACCACCACCACCGTCAGGCGCTCGGCCGTGGGCAGGTAGCTCAGGGAGAGCAGGATCTCCCCCACCGTGTCCACCGCCTGCAGGACACACCAGCCCATCACCCAGTGACCCCAGCCCAGCAGGGAGGAGAAACCCCCCCAAAAAACCTGGGGGGGCAGATAGACCAACCACCCCAACTCACCTTGTTCATGTCCTGCAGGTAGAGCCAGGCGTTGAAGGGCCGGGTGGCCAGGTCCAGGTCGGAGAGCTTCAGCTCGGCCACGCCGGTGCTGACGTTCCTCTCGTCCTCGTCGATGCCGAAGACGGAGAAGCGCAGGCTGTTCTCCTCCAGCGCCGCCGGGTCCAGCGGGATGGAGAACCGCTCGTCGAAGGCCACGGCGTAGGCGCTCCGCTGGATCTGCCACGGGGAAAGGGGGGAATTACCTCAGTACCCCCCGGGCTCGGGGGCTGCACCCCAGATCTGCTCTGCTCCTCTACTGGGAACTGCCAGAACATGGGGCTTTGGGGCAGTGAGGGCAGAGCATCCCCCAGCCCCACAGAACCATCAGATTGCCCGGGCTGGGAGGGACCTTCCAGACCATTGAGTCCAAACATCAACCCACCACTGACCCATGTCCCTCAGCACCACGTCTGCCCGGCTTTGAAACCCCTCCAGGGATGGCGACTCCACCACTGCCCTGGGCAGCCTCTGCCAAGGCTTCACAACCCTTTCCAGGAAGAAATCATTCCCAATCTCCATCCTAAACCTCCCCTGGTGCAACTTGAGGCTGTTTCCTCTTGTCCCATGGCCTGTTCCTTGGGAGAAGAGACCGACCCCCCCTGGCTACACCCTCCTTTCAGGGAGTTGGAGAGAGCGAGAAGGTCTCCCCTCAGCCTCCATTTCTCCAGGCTGAACACCCCCTGCTCCCTCAGCCTCTCCTCACAAGACTTGTTCTCCAGACCCCTCTCCACAGGGGACAAAAGCTCAGCACCTGGGGTAGGAAATAGGGGCCATGACCTGCCCTGTTGCCCATTAATTCTTTTAATTACAAACTGAAGGTTGCTCTGGTGCTCTCAGGTGCCAGCTCCACCACCCCGGGCTGCAGGACTCAGCCAAGGTGTAGCCCCCAGCCCTGCACAACCCCTCAACGTGCCAACGGGGACGATGCTTTTTCCCAGTCGCCGTCTCCACGTCTCACTGTTCCCCTGGAGCAAAGGCAGCAGCAGCTCCCGGGCCCCATCCTGCAGGTGCTGGTCACCACCCACTCCCAAAGCGCCGCGGGGGCAACTGCTCCCAGATCACGGCTTTGGAGACTGTTTTTTTTCCTACTCCAGCCCTATTTCTTTCAGCATCCAAGGTACCACCCACAAATCAGGGATTTGTCCTGAAGGAAGCCTGGTGCTCCCACAGGATGGGAGCCGTGGCCTCGGATGGCCCCAAGCAAAGCGGAGCCACCGGCTCCCCCTCCCCATCCCCGTGGTGGGAAAGGGACCCCGCTGCAGGAGGGGGGCCCAGCCCTGAACCCCTCGGGCTTCATCACCCCCAGGGCGCCTGGACCCCCCTGCAATGGTGGGGAGACAGTTCATCCCATCCCAAGGACTCCCTCACGTCTGTCTGTCTGTCTGCTCCTCGGCATGCTCCATCCCGGGGATGAAGAAGATGGAGCTGCTCACGAGGTGGGACCTTCCACCACCCCCTTCCCAGGCTCTCCCATGGGATACAGTCCCCGGGGATCAAACACCTCCGGGGGAAAAGCAGGTTCGTGGGTATCTGCTTTACAGCAGCCAGCACTGTCTGTCTGTCTGTCTGTCTGCAGCCGACACCAGATTTGGGGATCTCTGGGTGGAACGTAGGACAGAAACGTTCTCTGCTGCCTGAGAAGCAGAACAAGGCAGGGACTGCAAAGCATTAAAGGGGAAGAACCAAACGTGCCCCTGTGTCTCAGCTGGGAACAGCAAAAGAGGGTAAATAGCGCTGGTGAATTATAAATAATGATGCTAAATAATAAATATCTCCAGAGCATAAATAAAGAGCCCAGTCTTTGGATGGAAAAATGGTCCTAAAAGGGCACAGTGGAGATATCTGA